AAATATATATGGAAATCCAATGCCAACTGTATGAATAAACGTTCAGAAGAGCCACTGCGAAGCTTTTAATTGTTGAAATAAATTATTTCTAGTCTATTGCACCCTAAAAAATTAAGACACATAAGATGTATATACAAGACGCTTCGTCCGCTATAACAAGACGCTTTGACTTAACGTCTGATTGGTCAAGACACTTCTAATTTAGACACTTCATGTGTCAACGGATGACCGATTTTAGACACTGCTGCGTCTTATTTTTTTCCATTGGGCGATTTATACCAATGAGAGAAACGTCTAACATCTGTCTTTTCAAGACATTCAGCTGATCTATGAGCTACTAATTCTAGAAATAATTATACTGAAACGTGTACAATAGATATTGTGGTAAATATTTTCAATAAAATTATTTTTTTATTTTTACTAATTTTATTCCTTTTCGAACTTAACTCTTAACTCAATAGTGTCGGAAATAACAAAAACAAAGTTCCTTAATTCACATATTCAGCTAAGTTCGAAAAGAAATAGAATTAGTGAAAATAAAAAAATAATTTTATTGAAAATATTTACTACAATATCTACTGTACACGTTTCAGTATAATTATTTCTAGAACTAGTAACTCATAGATCAGTTGATGTATCTCAAAAAAAAACAACTGCTAGGCGAATTCTTAGATGGACATTTTAGAAAACTACGAGAAATCATTTTTTTATTAACTGGTAATAAAACACGATAGATTCAAGATCTATCTTGCTCTATTTTTTAGATCCAGAAAAAATTCTTTCCTCAACTCAAACAATTACATTCGCAACATATTTTACTTATTTTGGAATTTTTCTGGGCAATAAAAGTTGAAAGGTATAATTAGATCAGATAAATATAGATAACGTTAAGTTAATCCAAAAAAGAAAAAAAAAATTAGAAAATATCATGTAAAAATAAAATGGACTTTTATGCTTCAGTTTCAAATAAATATAGAAAAAGTATTTCAAAAATCTCTCACGTATATTAATAAAGACAAGAGGAAAAATGAACTCTTGAAATTTTAAAGAACAAAGTTCACTAAATGACGCACAAACATTAACTATCTATAATAAAAACTGTAGTATTTTATCGTTAAACAAGCGGAAAAGTTATACCTTAAGAGCTTTTCCTCTCATCAAAACTTTTACATAAAATCTTCATTGTCACACAGTCAGTTTTACTTATCTGTATAGAAAAATAACTAAAACCTTCATAAAAGATTATTGATATTAAGTGTACTTCACTAATGTTATTTAATTTACACATATTTGAATAATATTAATTAACATTGCATGATGTTCATTTTGAAGTATGTTGAATACGAATAGTTGATTATTAAACAGCACATACTGAAAAATAAATTAGAAAACTATTAAATTTGAGTCCTTAATCAGCGAACTGTAAATAATAAGTGCCACTTACTTATAGTTAGACTTACTGTTTATCGACTTAAATCACATCCTTGCAAGATAAATAAATAAATAATGATCGAAAATAAAATAAAATAATGAAACTTCCTTAATCAGTGTAAATAAGCATTTGGAAATAATAAATACCAATGAGCACGAGTATCACTAAAATAGAATTTATCAAAAAAGAAATGAAATAAGTTCGCGACTAGATAATAAATAAACTTACTCAGTTATGCACACATCGTTAGATCGAAATTGAACATTGAACACCTAAAGCAGTACTCGAAAAAAAACCAATTGTATAGAAGAAAGAAGATTACTAAAAATAGAATACTATTAAAATAAAATTTATTCTGTAAAAATGCACTAAAGAAAAACACATCTTATACATATTTGAATAAAAAAGAATATGAATAAAAAAACAAAGTTGATCGACCTAGCTGACTAGTCATTTATGTAAGATAAATATTGTACAATGAGAGGGCTAACAATTTCTGTTCTGTTATTATATATATATATTTGTCTCTATAGAAAAGATTACGACGCGTCAGTGTCTATTCGTTTCAAGTGTCTAAAAACAAGACGCATCTCATGTCAAACTTGTGCCTAAACTAAGCGTTAGACGCATACATTGTCTTGTAAGACACTTGGCATTTATTACAGTGTGATATGGTCAGACAAAGTTCATTGAGAATCATATGATTCCTTCTTATTTTATTTTCTTACAGGTGTCACTGCTTTGTGGAAAGCATAAAAAATTCACTGTGAGACGAATAATATAAATATAAATGTAAAAATGTAAATGGTCTAATTATCCTTGATTGGTTTATTGTATTAGCTAACCACTGATCTATCACTTAACTTAGGTGTCATTACTTATTTTCATTGAACTATTTTTTTCAAAAAGCATTTTCCAAATCCAAATATTAATTACTAAATCTTTCTATACTTTTATTGAAATTTAATTTTAGAAGATATTTTTTATGTCAACTTCTTTTAGCTTCGATTATCTGCCGGCAGATGTATTATCTTTGTCCGGTTATGATTTTTTTCTACTTATTAAGACTGTTCTTGGTGAACCAGAAGCTAATCTACTAAATAAAATATCGATCAAATCAACAACATCCTTAATTCAAACTGAAGATCCACTTGATATCTTTAATTATGATATTGATGATGAAGAGTTAGAAAAATTAAGAAAGGAACTTTCATTTAAATTAAAAAATAAAAAATTTATGCTCAAACCTGGAGTAATTTTAGGATTTCGCTCATTAAAAGATGCATTAAAAAAATAAGCTAATGAACAATTAACAAAATCAAAAGGAAGAAAATATCAACAACAATTATTTAATACGAATTCATCATCTATATATTCATTAGTACCAGCAGCACCAGCAACAACATAAGCACCATCAGTATCTAATAAATTGTCTTTGGCTGAACATAAAGCACATGTTCTTAAACTCATTCAGAAATGGTGTTCAGATAACAAAGAAAATTTTGATTTAGAACATTTTAATTTAGAAGAAAACGTTGATTTTATTTTGAAGATTGATTTTGATGAAAATATAGATGTAAAAGCAAGTATTAAATGCAAATGTAATAAATTAATATCGTTAGGTAAAAATGATAATAAAATTCAAGTATCTAATTATTATAAACACTTGCAATCAAATGGTTGTGATCATATGAAAAACGTCAAGAAAGTTGCAAGAGAATTAAATTCAAGTCAACAGCAGCAACAACCATCAACACCTATTACATTAACACCTTCATGTCGGTCACAGACACCATTAATAGGAGTTGCTGTTGTTTCACCAACTAACACACAAA